GAGTCCAGACCCCAGCCCCCTCCTCCCTCAGACCCAGGAGTTCAGACCCCACAGCCCCTCCTCCCTCAGACCCAGGAGTCCAGACTCCCAGCCCCCTCCTCCATCAGTCCCAGGAATCAGGCCCCCAGCCCCCTCCTCCTTCAGACCCAGGAGTCCTGGCCCTTAGCGCCTCCTCCCTCAGACCCAGGATCCTGAACCCCAGCCCCTTCCTCCCTTAGACCCAGGAGTCCAGACCCCCCCCCACCCCTCCTTCCTAGATCCAGAAACCCAGACCCTGCCCCGCACCTGTGGGGCCTTCTTCTCCCTCATCCTCGTCATGTATGGGGGGCCCCCCTGCCCCCCCAGGCCGGCGTTCCTTGGACAGATCTTGGAGAGAAATCTTCTCTCGGCTGCTCAGACGACACACGGAGCTCCTGGTGGGAAGGGGAGGGCGTGGGGTTCCAGTCCCTGGGACCCGCCACCTGCCCACCCAGGCGCCTGTCCACTACCTTCGGTGTTTGCCGCTGGAAGGCACCTGGGGCTCCTGGCTTCTGCTCTGAGAAGCTTCCTTTTGGTTCCGCAGCTGCAAGGGGACAAAGGAGGGGACGGAGGAGGCTGCTGGGAGGGCCCCACGCGGCCCGCGGCCCCCACGTCCAGGGCCGGCACGCACGGCCGTGCAGGTGTGGGTGGAGGAGGCGCCACCCACGGGGAGGGCCGCTCCCAGCGGACACGGGGGATCTGCGGGCCCCTGCACACGGCTGTGTGGCGTCTGGGTCCTCCTCACGGCCGCCTCCCGGCCTCCCCGCTCTGGTGTCCTCCCCTCCCAGGGCGCCCCGCTCACCGGGGACGCTGTCATGCCTGCCACCTCCCTAGGGCGGCCCGCCCAGCCTTGGCACAGAGGTTCCTCCACCAGGCGAGCCCGTCATCCCCGCCCCTCCTGAGAGGTAGGGCCGCCTTCCCCCGCCGCAGGCTGAGAGCGCACCCATACCTGTGCTCCCTCCTCGCCGAGGGCTGACCCTGCCTCTCCCTCCACGAAGCCCACGGCGGCCCCACTGCCCTCACCCTCACACTGCTCCTCAGCCTAGCGTTCGCGGCCCTTCGGGTGGGCCCCCCGGCCCAAGGCCTCCCTGCCTCACACTCCCCTCCGGGCCCCATCCATTTTCCCACCCCCTAGCCTCTGCACGTGCCGTGCCCTCACCCCGAGCGCATGCCCTGGGTCTGAGAAGCTGTCCACCCAGCCAGAACTATGACCTTTCCTCTCAACGTCACCACGACCCACCTTTAAACAGAGGGATCTGTGTCCATCTACCCCCCCACTCACTGGAAGCTCCAGGCAGAGTGCCCGGCCCCCAGGAGGCCTCAGGAGATGCTTCCTGCTCCCGGTCGGCTTACAGTCCACCAAGCAGGGTTCCAAACGTTCTCGTGCAGTAACACGTATACTCCCCGTAGCATAACAGATACTCCGCGTGACTCCTCATAAAGGTGCACACACCGTTATCCCCACATTACACGTGAGGAAACTGAGGCCCAGAGAGGCTAAGTGACCAGCCCGAGCTCACAGAGCAGACGCATGCCAGAGCCGGGATTCAGAGCCCGGAGTCCGTGCCGCCCAGCCCTTCACTCTGCCTTTTTCCAGCAACAAGGCCTGGCCCAGTGCTGGCTGGGCGGCATTCCGGGGCTGATGAGGCCCAGCCTCCTACTGACTCCTCTTCCTGACTCTGACTGTTGCCAGCTGGGCAGGAGCAGGTCCCCCGCCAGGGGGCACTGGGGTAGCAGGGCGCCGACGGGAGGGAGGGAGCCCCCAAGACTCACATCCTCCTGCTTCCGGGCCAGTTCCTCCAACAGACTCAGCACCTCCTCATCAGCCAGGTCGCAGGGACGTTGGCCCTGGCGGCGGAGGAAGAGAAGGGGCAGAGGACGATGGAGGGGAGGGGGCCTCCCGCCCCTCAGCCCCACCGGCCCGCAAGCAGCCCGGCCCTCACCGCGTGGGTCAGCGAGTCCATGCCCCCACCGTGCTCGGCCAGCAGGCGGCAGGCGTCCTCCACGCCCCAGTGGGCCGCGGCGTGCAGGGGGGTCCAGCCGTCCCCGTCCCGGAGCTCTGGGTCGTAGCCGGCCTGAAGGAGCAGCCTGGGTGCGGGGAGGCTCGGAGTCAAGGACCGAGATGCGGGTTCTGCCCGAGGCTGCCGTCATCGGCTGGCCACGCTGGGGCCCGGTCGGGACAGGCAGGTGGCGAGGGCCTCTTTGTGGAGCCCCTCCCCCGGCCCAGTGGGTGGCTTCAGGAACCCTGCCCCTTGTACCGGGCAACTCTCTCGACTGTCACCCCTGGGTGTGGGACACACAGCCCCAGAGCCTGCGAAAGGGCTGAGGCCCCAGAAGGGGCAGCCCTGGGGCAGTGATGTTCTAGGAACCCGCCAGCTCAGGGAGGTGGCCCTCAGCCAAGGCGATGCTGCCCGCCAGGCGACATCTGGCAGTGTCTGGAGACGGTCCAGGAGGTCACAGCTGAGGGGTGGGTGCCAGGGATGTTTCTAACACCCTACGGCGCAGAGGACGGCCCCACGGCAAAGACTGATGTGGTCCAAAACCCCGCTAGTGGCGAGGCCGAGGAGCCCCGGCTTGGAGGACGAGCACAGGATCTGGGGGGCAGGCAGGGTTAGAAGCCCAGGCGGGTCCCACACGCACAGCTGGCGGCACACAGCCTGCCTCTGCAGGACTGGCATCGGGTTCCGTGCCCGTGGGAACAAGCGAATACGAGGTGGGAGGTGGACAGAGTTCATGAGACTTTTCAAATAGAAGGGCCTCTGTGGGGCCCTGCTGACCTCGTCGCTCACTCCCCAGAGCTCACTCGCTGCAGCCACCTGGGCGCCTGCACACGGTCCCCAGGGGTCCCCAGGCCGGAGCTCATGCAGCCCCCCTCCCACTCCTCCCACCGCCCTCTTTATGCCTTTCTAGGCCCACGGTTCTCAACTAGGGGGGGCACCTGGCCATGTCCGCACATGTTTGGTCGTCCTGAGTTGGGGGGGGGGGGGGCGCTCCTGGCCTCCAGGCAAGAGCCCAGGGATACTGCTCAGCACCTTACAACGAACGGGCACACCCCTCCCCGGGCACCAGTGTGCGCTCAGGCCCACGTCACGTGGTCTGCTGCCCCGGTCACTTGTCTGCCTCCCCGGCGAGGCTGGGGGCTGCACGTGGGCCCAGACACGTCTCGTGTGCCAGCCGCCCCGGACCTAAAAGACGGCCCGGCCTTCGGCAGGTGCTCGGTAAGTAAGTGCCCAGCGCCACCTCTCTGGGCCTCTACCCTGCCCTTCGTCGGTGATGAGGGGAGGCTACAAACGCAGCCGTCCTGAAGGCGGTGATAAAATGGGAGTCGCTGAGGCTTCCCGCGGCCAAAGCACTTCGTTCCTGTGCCAGACAGTGAGCCACCCCCAGACCCCGACTTTCCCCCCACTTAGTAACCATGCCCAACTCTCAGCTGGACACGCTGTCACCTGGCTCAAGAGGGATCTCCCGGGCTCCCTGGCGGGAGCCCCGGGCAGGCAAGTAACTGGGATGGTGGAAATGCCAAGAAAACGCCAGGTGGTCTGGCAAATGGGACATCGGTGTTCAGCGTGCGGGTCACTTCAGGATTGTTCTTTTAAAAGGAGTCAACGGGGGCGTCTGGGTGGCTCAGTCAGTTAAGCGTCGGACTCTTGATTTCAGCCCAGGTCAGGACCTCACAGTCCGTGAGCTCAACAGTGCAGAGCCTGCTTGGGATTCTTTCTCTTTCTCCCTCTCTCTCAAAATGATAAACTTTAAAAAATAATCAAGTAAAAATAAAGGGAATCAACATTTGCTCCTTTTGTCCTCTCCTCCTCCGGGCTGTGTGGGATGCAGATGCAACGGCAGGAGGCGAAGCAGCCACCTGAGACTCAGCGGTGGAAGCCACGGGCAGAAGAGGACAGGGCTGGGCACATGACTGGGCCTGACCATTTACATCCCAGGCCCCTTGCCACTGGGATTAGCTCTGGGATGGGCAGGTGCCCAAGGCGGCCCAGTGAGCATCAGGCCAGGACTTTTGCTACAAGAATGGGGGACGAGGCATTCTACTTTCACAGCAGGCAAGCAACTAGGTCATGAGCCTGGAGCCACTAGGGGCCGTCTCTAGCACCTCACTGGAAAACCTGCCTAAAAACCCAACACAGAGGTGAGCAGAGCTGAGGGATTCATCTCTACTCCACTTCCAGACTGAAAATAAAGGATAAATCACAAAGAGAGAGGACTCAGAGAGGAGAGAATCTGAGGATAAGAATGGGAACCAACCACCCCAACATAAGAGGGTGAGGCAGCCAAACACGGACGGCAGCAAGGGAACACATGCTGTAGCGATTTAAAATACATACGCGCTAGATAACCTGGCCTTCAAATACAGAAATAAACACCGCGGGCACTACAAGGATAAACAGGCAAAATCCACAAGCATCGTAGGAAATTTCAGGGGCACCCGGCTGGCCCACTCAGTGGAGCATGTGACTCTTGATCTCAGGGTTGCAAATTCAAGCCCTGCGTTGGGTGTAGAAATTACTTACACATAAAATCTTAACAACAAAAACAAAAAAAAAGTACGTCTCTCACAGTAACTGACAGAGTAGGCAGAGGGAAAAAAACCCACTAAGAACATAGGAGGCTGAAATAGCGTGACTACAAAGGTGATCTGATAACCTACACGGAACGCTGTACTTCACAGCATGGTTCTTTTCCAGCTGACACATACCGGGGTATAAAGCAAACCTCAGAGAATTCCGAAAATCCGATGGAAGCATATGGATTCTCTGACCACAGTGCCATCAGGGCAGGAAATGGGCATCGAAACAATGACTGGAAAAATCCCACACATCTGAAATTAAGGACATCCTTCTAAATAATCCAGAGGCCAAAGAAGAGAGATTACAAGCCGGAAAATGTTTTAAACTTACGGACAACGAAAAGCCTACACATCAGGACTCGTGGACACGGCAAAGGCTGTATTTAGAGACAAATACTCCGTCCACATACATAAATTAAAAAACCCGCAGGAAGGTGGAAGACGGCGAGAAGGAACAGATCAGCCCAGCACAAAGAGCAGGGAAGAGTGGGGACACCAGCCCCGCTCACCTCATCACTTCGATGTAGCCCTTAGCAGCTGCCACGTGCAGGGCAGAGGCCCCCGTGCGGGGGTGCCGGGCCTCGGGCATCGCGCCCCCGTTCAGCCAGCACCTCGTGTCACGAAGAAGCAGTTCCTCCTCGGCCCGTTTGGCCGCCTCCACGTCCACACCTGGGAAGACGAGAAGGGGCAGTGGTAGGACTCACACCCGGAGCCCCAGGAGGCACGGGGTCCCCCTCGTTCCACATGCTCCTCTGGGACTCAGGGGACCCGGACTTCCCCACGGGGCCTCCGAGGCACTGCTGGGAGAACGGGGATCACAGGCCCTTCTCCCATTTCAACCTAAGTATCACCTTTATCGTTACTCTTAAGTATAAACCCAGCACCTGATTACGTCAAACCCTCCCTAGCACCACCAGTAAAATCCTGAGCCCACGTCTTCACGCACTCTGTTGGGACCCTTTCTATCACCCTGAGAAGGATAAACCAGGCAAAGGGCCACCAGACCAAGGGGCCGCATTACTGGGGCAACAGCCTCTTTCCTAGCCAGGTGCGGATCCCTGTTCACAGCTGTGCCGTCACCTAGAGCAATCAGAAGAGAGCCAAGCACACGGCCTCGTCGGTCAGTTTCTGTACATCTTTCAGTTTCCTGCAAAGCTGTTCTGCATTTGGGATGCCAAGGGCAACTTAGGACTTCACGTGTAAGTGGATTTTGGATCAGAACAGGCAGCCTTGCTGAGGCTGTATTAGTATCTGGTGACCATCACCGAGAATCTGTATGTTGCCTGCCCTCTATTGAGACCGGAGTCAGAAAGGGTCTCTTCCAGCCAACGTTCGATCTCTCTCCTGGAAAGTTTATTGGGGTCTGTTGCTGTTCCAACTGTGAGATTTCTCACACCAAAGCGCTGGCTTGGAGCTGAGCCGTCCTGCCCCATAGCTGTCGGCCACGTGCAGCTACTGAGCGCCTGAACTGTAGCTGCTCCAAACCGAAACGTGTCATGAACACAAATACACGCTGGATTTCGATGTGTGGGCGGGAAAAAGTGTGCGGCACGAGGTACCTGGGTGGCTCAGTCGGCTGAGCACCCAACTCTTGATGTCAGCTCAGGTCATGATCTCACGGTTCGTGAATCCGAGCCCCAGCTGGGGCTCTGTGCTGACAGAGTGGAGCCTGCCTGGATTCTCTCTCCCCCTCTCTCTCTGCCCCTCCCCCACGTGAGTGCACTCTCTCTCCCTCAAAATTAATAAACTTAAAATACAAAAGCGCACAGCAACCCATGAATGGTTTTCTTTATGTTGATTAATGTTGACATGATAATGTCTTGGGCACACTCAGTTAAGTAAAATACGTTACTAAGTTAATCTCACCTGCTTCTTCTTACTCTTTTAAGTGCACCCACTTAAAAATTTTCCATTACGCTGTGGCTTACACTGGCTTTCCGCTGGGCAGCACGGGCAAAGGACCCCGTGGCGCCACCACTTGGGCTTAAAAACTTAAAACACGACAGAGGCCGCAAAAACCCCGTGTGCCCCCCACCCATCTCATCTTGCTTTCGTGACGCTGCGTCCTGTTGCACCCTCACTACACACACGGGAAAGTCTGCCCTAAGTCGGCCCCGGGGGTCCCAGAGGGCAAGCGGCCCGGAACCGGCTGCGCGTCTGCGCCACCTGCTGGCACCAGGGGAACGCGCGACTAAACTCCAACGGGATCACCTCCGGCTGTCGTCTGGCAGCTGTCCAAGGAAATGTTTGGCTGGTCGGAGCCCACCTGGTGGGCCCAGCTTGGGGCGGAGAGGCCGGGACAGTGCTGGGGACTCAGGGACACCCTCCCCCCCACCCCCGCACACAACTTCCTTAAAGGGAATCACCTTCAATCCTACTACAGATCCGTGTGCCTTCCTTAGGCAGCGAAGGGTGGGGTTTGCTGACCTTTTTCCAACCACTGCTAGTGTCTCTGGCATGGTCACACACATCCTTCTGCACTCTGCTTTTTGCCGAGATTTGCGTTTGTTGACGGAGCTCTCCATCAGGGTTGGCAAACCTGTCTGGTTTCTGCCTTTTGTTCTACTGATGGTAAAACACAATACCTCATACCCATTAAGTAGGCATGCCCTGTACCTCCCTCCCCAGCCCCTGGCAACCATCAGTCTACTTCCTGTCATTAAGCTTTGCCTGTTCCGGAAGGCCCCCTGTGTTTGTGAATAAAGCTTTATTGGAACGCGGCCACGCCCACCACGGACACAGGGCCCCTGGCTGTGCTGGGGCGGGCGGTCGCAGGGGCCCCGACCCCTGGCCGGCTGCAGCGTGACAGCACCTCCCACAAAGTCTCGTCCTTCACAGAAGCTGCCAGCCCACTTACAGATTAGTGATTTACCCAACCTCCTCTGCTGGAGCCCCCAGCCTCTCCCGCTGCCAACAACCGCCCCCGCCCCCATGAAGATGCCTGTCCGAGGGCGAGGGCGGGAGGGCCTCCGTCCGGTGGCCTAGCAGCAGAACCGCTAGATGCCCCCTTCCCGCCCAGTTCTGTGTCCCTGCGGCCCGTCCTGCAGCTGGGCTGGGGGCAGCTCTACAGCGCGGATGGGTGGCCACATCGCCTGGCCTAACCACCCATCCTTGTCGCCCCAGCTAGGGCTGGCTCAGGCGGAGGGTGGCGCTCAGGTGGCTGAGGAAATGTAGTCCTAGATCAGCCGAAGAATCAGCCAGCACTGTTAGCAGCGGCGCTTCATACCCGTTTGAGAGAATCGGCCTGAGAATGAAGTCCGTACAGGGGCGCCTGGGGGGCTCAGGTCATGACCTCATAGCTCAAGGGGTTCGAACCCCACGTAGGGCTCTGTACTGACATCTGAGAGTCTGAAGCCTGCTTTGGATTCTGTCTCCCTCTCTGCTCCTCCCCCACTCATGCTCTGTCTCTCAAAAATAAATACAAATTAAAAAAAAAAAAAGAAAGAAAAGAATGAAGTCAATGCAGAGTTCAGTACAGTGATATTTTCGAGTTGGTGCCCCTGGATCAAACCATGCCTGAAGTCTGTGCAATTCCTGGACTTCAGTTACGTGGCCCATAAATTGCCTTTTCATTTTAAACTGTGGTAAAAATACACATCAAATTTACCATCTTAACCCCTTTAACTGCAGTTCTGTGGCATTAAGTATATTCACGTTGCCATGCGGCCTCCACCACCATCCGTCTCCAGAGCACTCTTCATCTTGCACAACTGAAACCCCGTCCCCATCAAACAGCATCGCCCCGCTTCCCCCTCCCCAGCCCCTGCCCCCACCACTCTACCTTCTGCTTCTATGAATTTGACCATTTTAGTCCCGTTCCTCATAGAGTTAGAATCACACAGAGTTTGTACACTTTGTGCCAGACTCTCTCACTGAGCATACCGTCCTCAGGGTTCACTCACACTGTAGCACGTGTCCGAACCTCTTGCCTTTTTAAGGCTGAATAATAGTATTCCATCGTAGCACATGCCACACATTGTTCATCCATTTCTCCGCTGGTGGACACTTGGGCTGCTTCCACCTCTGTGCTACTGTGAGAAACGGCCGCTTCAAACACGCTGCACAAACCGCCTCTTGGGCTGGGCCCTGAGCCCGGCTGCAACGGGTTCCCACAGAAGCGGCCCGCCAAGCCTCACCCGACAGACGACTCTCTAATCACAAAGGGAGGCGGACTCCACGGTAGAGCCGCCTGGCCAGTGCCCCTCCGTGAAGTTCAAGGCTAACAGCAACAGGGCAGGCAGACAGACAGCACCCGTCTCCCGAACAACGCACTAAGAAGTTCCTGCCACAAACGCAGACCTGAATCTCCTGGAGAAGCGGCAGGCGGGTCCAGGCCGAGGGACACGCTGTGTACAGAAGGCAGGGTGAGGAGGCCAAGGGGAGACCAAGGGCAGGGCAGGGCCACAGGAGGCGCAGAGGGGAGGCTACAATGTGCCACAGGTAACAGCGCAGCACCAAGGCCAAGGTCCCGATGCCCACAGAGGAGTAACAACGTGACATCCTCTGTCCTTGTTCTAGGAGACACAGGCTCCCACGTCAGGGCCAGGGTTACAGTGTCTGCTTCGTGTTCTGGAGATGGCTGGGAACAGAGAGGGAGGCAGCTGGGGAGGGAGAAAGAAAAGGAAGGGAGGGGGTGGGGGAAGAGTGCTATTTATGTATAGTGGGGGGAGGGGGGAGGCAGGGCGAATGCAGATGGGCCAAAATGTTAAAAACTGTATGACCCCATTTATACAAAACGTTCCAAAACGTGTAGGGACAGGAAGCAGATGAATGGTGTCTCGGGGCTGAGTGGGAGTGGGGTGCCGGTTGAGGGCTCCGGTTTCTTTGGTGCGACCGAAGCCCTCTGAGTCCATGCAGTGAGGCAGGCACAACACTGTGAAACGCTAAGAAACCAGCGGACCGCACGCTTTCGAAGAGAACCGAACGGGCTACGAATCACATCTCCACAAAGCTGCTAAAACCACCGGCCAAGCTCAGGGAGGGTCATGTGGCCGCCCCCCTAAGGCTGTCCCAACCTTTGTCCACATCTGAAGTTTTTCAGGGTGAGAAGTCAGAGAGGAGAGAAGCAGCTCAGCTCTGCCTTAGTGCCCGCCCCCCACATTTGCCGTGACCCCAGACGTCCACCTGCACGCGGCTCTCTGACCTTACCAGCAGTCAGCCTGCCCAAGCCAAGCCCGGGGATCTGGGCGTCACCTTCCACACCCCAGGGCCTGCTCGGCGGCTCCCTCGCTGAACCTAGACCAGCACCCCACGGCCCATGCCCTCCAGGTCAGTCAGGCCACAGCCTTCCTCGCACACCCCACGCATCAGCTGGTTCTAGGTGGCTGCTTTGGGGAGTACGTTTGGACATGAGCTCCTCTGAGAACTTGCTAAAAGCAATACACGTTCTCCCTAGAAATATGAACATAGCCACACACAGAGTTTCGGGGGTCCTGGGCCCCATGCGGTTCAGTGACCGTGCATACGGGGAGAACAGTCCCCCTCAGGGAACACTTCCGAGAGGACAATCTCACCTGAGAGACCCCTGGACAAGCCCCCCGCACCTCATTTCCTCACTCACTCCTGGGGTAAAATGACAATTTGGGTCAACGTCAGGTTGGGCTCTTATCCGTGCCCAGCGGTGGCACATGCACTTTACACGATCACTCAATGTTCCAAGCAACCCGAGGACGGGGACCCGCATGCCCACCTCACAGGTAAGGAACCCGAAGCAGACAGGGTCAGAGAACCCTAGGAAAAGCAGGGCTGGCCTCCGAGCCCCAGCAGTCTGTTCCCCGTGCCCGCAGGAAGCACCCAGGCGCCCACCTCGGTAGGCAATCTCCGCCTTCAGCAGCCCCTCCATGGCGTCCGACTCGGCCAAGTCCAGGGGCAAGTCCCCATCGCTGTTGACGGCGGCAATGTCAGCCCCGTGGCTCAGGAGGTACCTGGGGGTGGCGGTGGAGGGGTGGGGAGGTTAGGGCTGCGGGGTCTGAGCTCCGGTCCCCATGCGATCCCACTTACCCTCCCCCGCCTCACCTGGCGATGTCCAGGTAACCACAGGAGGCGGCCACATGCAGGGGCGTCCAGCCCTCGTTGTCCGCCTGGTTCACCGTGGCACCCTGCTCCACCAGGAAGCGTACCACCTCCAGGTTCTCATCAATGCAGGCCTGGGGCGCAGGGGACACAGCTGTCAGCCCTCACCTCACCCAGGCACCACACGCCCAGCAAGGCAGGACTCCCGAGGGGCCGTGAGACAGACCCCGGGAACACGGAGTCAGACATCCAAGGGAAAAAACCAGATGACCCTGGGACAGACCCCAGAAGGCACCAGCCCTGCTCCTGGAGGCCCATTCAGCTACCCAGCTATTTAAGACCTCTTGGCTTCCCAAAGGTTAGGTCAGCTGGGCATCTGGAGCTCAGTGGAGCCCATGAGAACAGGACACCCAGGTCCTTGCAAGTACGAACTGGATAAAGGGAGGGGGCTTTTCTCCAGCGTGGGAAGTCCTGGATGTTAGATACGATGTACCCTTGTCATCACCAACAGGACAAGGCTTCCAGTGACGAAGACCTCCTCCCTCAGACCATGGAGTTCTGAGCCCCCTGCCCTCTTCCCTTAGACCCTAGAGGCCAGGTCCCCAGCCCCCTCC